AGTTAGCACTCTTTGCATGAAATACAGTATGTATGAAAAAGGATTGTGGTTCCTTGATTGAGGGAATATTTGATCCATTGTTGGTCAAATTTCATTTTTCTTACCAAATCTGTTGTGTTTTGAGAAGGGATATAAGACTAATTCAGGTTCAGATATGGCATTTGGCTTTGAGTAAAAATATACTGTAGTGTCAAATCAGTCATTCAGTTGTGATGCTTATCAAGATAAATAAATAAATATCTATGGCAGTACAATTGCTGACAGTACCTGTTCCTCAACTTATTAGAAAAATGATCAGATTATGGGACACTGGGAAGAAAAGCATACAGTCAATCCACTCTCTTAGTAGGGAGACAATGGTGAAACTCATATTTAGTCACTCCATTCAAGCTCTCTTATAATATATTTGGCTAGTCTATGGAACCCATGTGAATGATTTGTTCAATCTGGCAGGTAGAGAAAGATTTAACCTCTGTTATGAAGTGTCTCATATTCCAAGGTACTACAGATGAAATTGCATGCATGCACAGGCCCACAGCTACTTGAAAGTTGAAACTGTCCTTCTATGATAAGTGATAAATACTGAAATGTATATTTTATGGTTAACTATGAAAAATGTCATTAATATGTATGAAAAGAATAGGTGTAATATACAAACATTAGTGCCTTGTAGCAAAATGCTATCTAACCCAGAATTTTAATTTTAGAATTGTTACTGAAATGTGTTTACACTTAATTATAATTATTTTATCATAAAGCTGATACCTAGAATCCTACCTAGTCTTATAGATGATACGTACTATAAATTAGTATTGTCATCCCTCTATAATAATGAAGGCATTGATATCTTCAAACATGACTTATGTAAATGGGTATCAGCATATCATTTAAGTGATTCCTCTCTGTTTTATATCATTATTTATCAAATATGTGGGTAGCCATATTATTGTAGGTAATCTTTTTTCCACTTAAATATAAGTTTTCTGTTCCTTATTCCTGTTTTTCTCTTTTAGAACAATTTAAGTAGTGGTGACTGCTCAGAAAATAATTCTAGGTTTGATACCAAGTGATACATTCTCTTCATCTTCAAGGTTGATGTGAAAACATGTTCAACTTCATCATCTTTGACTTACTTTGTCCTTTTTCTTTTTCCCTTCCCTCTTGGACATGACCTATATCCTTAGTTCTTTACAAGTCTGGCAGAATGGTTATATAATGGTGTAATATAGCTATTTCTTTATCATCCACCTCTTTCTCCTTCCTCCCTATTTCATTGGCTATTCTTGAATTCTGTTCTTCCATAGGATCTGCCCACTAGGAACAAGGTTTGGGAATTGGAAATATCATGCTGATATCATTTACTTATTTTGGAATCACTATTAATATGCCAAAACAATATCTGAATTTTTTGATCAATTACAACATCAGAGTAATATTCCATAATCTTTTTTTGATCAATAAACAGAGCCGAATTCATTATAATAAAAACAAAGGAGTACAAGGATGAGAATAGGGAGAGAGAAACACTCTTAGCTCTCCTTAGAAAGAAAAAAAGATGACAATATTGCCTAAAAGTTAACAAATGATTAGCATCTCTTTTCACCCATCGTAGTATGACCTCCATGCCTTGTAACAAGCTTCTATTCTCCTTTTCTCATAGATGTAGCCCCACCAATCAGCATCCTCCTCTTTTTATAACTAATTTATAACCAACTTGGAGTCCCCTTCAATCACCAATTTGTGGATAAGCAATTCCTTAGCCTTTTGCACTCTGTAAGGATGTAGACAGGGATACCTAGTTGTTTTTATATGCTTTTTAGATGCAGAAATGTTCTTCCCATCTTTATTTATTTTTGTTTCAGGCTGCTGTACTTGTTTTTTTTCTCTCTGTCACAGTCGACAGGGGTATTTTTGTCATTGTATCATCTTTTTATTGAGTTATATAAAAGCCAATGAGCGGGGG